TCCGCCCTTGGTTGTCACACTAATGGTTCAAAATAAATAATGCAAAATCGCCCTTCAGCTACTAATAATGGCAAGGAAATTTTGCGTCAGCTCTGCAAGCGTTGGCCATCAATTAACACGCTCGCTCGCTTCTTGCAAAATCATCATCCACATCACACTTATTTACATATACATATGTAAAACGCGCTTCGTATTCTGCATATCATTTTCTCACTTTAGCCTTAATTTTTGCCTTCAGCTTGACACCCATATGCTCAATTGAATAACCCACATGAAACCAGCATGATAAGTGCGTTTGCGGACTTTCTCTAAAGCAAATCTTATTTTATTTATAAATAATTCGCTTTAATGCAACAACGATACGTAATGGGACATTCATTAAAAGTGAGCAACGAGCAACGTGTTTACATAAGCTGTAAGAAATGTTATTTCTTGTAAACGATGGAAACTAATTGAAGGGCTAATTCACATGTCTTCCATACTTTACCAAAATCAAAGGCCTAAAAGTATTACAGAATTGATTACATTCTGATTATTTCGCTTTTAAAGCGCGCCTAACAGAAGCTTTGCAAAGTTTCATCCATTCATGACAATGAGTCCACGACTTCACTTCTTCACTCAACTTCATCTTAATCATTTTTTTACTCGATTATCACGCCGTTATTAGAGGACAATTTGAAGTTTCATGGGAAATTATTGCTGTTTAGGGAAACGTGGGAAAAGAAGAACGTAACGTTCCACGACAACGACACAGTGACGTTCTACCAGGAGAAGATCTATCACTTTGATGAGTCGCAATCGGTGGGATCAGAAGATGACGTGGTGGTGGTGCCCAACATTCCCATGCTGGTAAGTGTATCGAGCGAAAAAAACGGAAAGCCGCACCGAAATCCTTTCGGCCAAGATGCAATGTGGCAATTGGCCAAGGCTTGCGGTTTGTAAATTGTAAAGTGTGTCGCGAACAAGCCGTAATCGTGCAACCGAACAATGTTCGAGACACTGCGATATTTTCACCTGATAAGGGCTCAGTGAGGATCAGAAAATTTCATTTTTTACTACTGACCTGAGCAGGAGTCAATAGCGCCCCATACACGGGCAGATTAGTTAAACTAAGTGTTTAAAATGCGAAGCAAGAAACGGATAAAACGGATAGCTATTGCTTGTGCTGGCATCATAGTGGTTTCAGAAAATCTACGCAAAAAAAGTGAGAAGAAAGTGGATAGACTAGAGACTATAGACTGGAAGTGCGTCGGCAACCATTGCGAAAAATGCGGCCAAAAAATTAGAAATCCAATGCACGCTGGGATTTTTTTTATAAACACGTTGTTATTAAAACAATTAAATGCATAATTATAGAAAAACAAACAAACGATACAAACCGAACTAATTAAAACCAACGTTAAAAAGGCAAATTGATCTACCACTTTCTGAGTGAAATACTGCAAATTCTGAGAGACATACATATGTGTTCTGTGCACACTAATCATTAGGTACCCTTTAGTTAAACCCCGGCTGTTCTGGGCAACCTATTTTGTTCGCTCATACAGTTGTTCGTAAAACCTATATTTTTAAATTTGAGCTTATATTATTAATGACTACATCTGAATTACTTTTGTAACTTCATATCTGAAATATATCGTATTTGGCGTCGCCTTTAACAAAGAACAAACTATTTTTACCACAATTTTTGCAGTTAACAATTGAAAATGTAAACATCACATTAAACATCATTGCGCTTGAAAATATGGACTAGTCTGTGTATATACGGTCTGATTCTATATATCGTCTGTAACATCTATAATTCAAATACGAAGAATCACTTC